CATCATCACTGAATATCAGTCATTTCCCCTACTTGATCTGCAATGCCAAAACCAAGTGCCATATGTCAGGTTTCCATACATGCTCCATTAGCACCTATGGGGCCACTCTTGTATATGCAGCCCATTGTTGGCCAAAACGTCACTATAGTACATGACTGTCCTTAATGTCTCTGTGCCTCAGCTTCTTCATCCATAAAACAGGGATCGCCCCTAGTTCATCGGGCTTCTTGGGGGACTAATTAAGATAATTTTTGTAATTTTTGTAGAGTGCTTAGAAAAGAACTCTGTTAGTCAGCTTTCTCCAGGTTACACTGTGGGAACAAATGGTCCCCACCTTGGTAGCTTATAACAAAGATTTACTTTGGGCTTACGTTACAGGTTGTCTGTAGCCCTGCTTTATGTGTCGTCTTCCCTCTAGGCCTGAGAGACAGCCTCTCTCTGGCCCGGGCTTTTCTCATGGCGAAGGGAGTAGTGCAATGATGGAACCACGCGATGGCTCTTCAAGCTTCTGCCTGGATGAAGCACTCGTCACTTCTGCGCATACTGCGGTGGTGAGTGGAGTCACAGAGCAAGACTTGATGGCAACAGCAACAGGAAGAGTCTAGGTTTTTTCAAGTGTCCTGTCACAAGCCCCATCTCCCTCCTGGATTCAGTTGGTCTTGATCTTCCTGTGCAGCTTCTGTCTTCATTTTCAATGAACTTCTAGAAAAGATTCGCAATCCCTCAAGTTACCGGAACACTTGAATATCACAGAGTCATCTGACCTGCCACCCCGTGCCCTTCTGAGGTTAATCTGGAGAAGCTGGGGCAAGAAAGGACAAACAGGAACAGGCCGCTGGAGAGAAGAGGGCGCTGCACACAGGCAGGGATGGCCCTCATCAGGGAAGCAGGTCAGGTCCTCAAGACTTGCTCCAAGGACACTTTCATGTCCAGACTATGCTATTTCCATCTTTTCACAGTTAGTGTAAGACAGTGTGTTTTGTTGTGGTGGGGTTTTTTTGGTTTGTTTTTTGGTTACTGTTATTTTGTCTTTAAAACTACCATGGAGGGAACAGAAAGGCAAATCACAGCCTACAAGTGAGCCATCCCGACTCCTTCCAGATGGCTCATTTTCTCTTCCCCCTTTCTGTGATTTATAAACCCCAATATGGCTTCTGCAATCTTGCACCATCGTGAAATGTTTTTGCTTGACGAGTGTTAAAAATCTCCACCGCTTACAGAAAACATTCCAAACTCAGACCGCATTCAAAGTCCTAAATAATCTGTTGTCAATCTACATTCTACTCTTATTCTTGGGTGAAACATTTTTTTCACACTAAGGTTGCTTGATCACAAGATAATCAAAGTCTAATATACTGGTCAGAACAAGTAACAAGCACAGAAAATGGGTACAGTGAAGGGCTGTGTTAGAAGGAAAAGCCTGGAGTTTGAAAAATACTGGCCTGTCTGTTCATTTGTTCTCAAACAGCTTGAAAGAGGACTAAATAATTATAAATGTGTGAACTATAAAAAGAGAACATGGGCAAAAGTAGGCTCTTTCTATTTTAATCATGCCAGAATCAGATCAGGCCTGAGATCTCAGCTTTTGAGAATTCGGGTACATCCCAGTAGTCATGACTCACTACTATGATTCACAAAACTGCAAAAAATGAAGAAGTGCTGGGATATAGATGGCACAAAGGCTCTCTGCCGAACCACAAAAAGCATTTAAATAACGTTCAATAAGTAGACAACACTTTCTATAAAGAAAAGAAAGTATTACTGTGTAATAAGACTAGTGGAGTTGTGAATACATAAAGAGTAGCCTCAATTTGTGAAGGTCTCTCACCAGACATTAACAGTTGAACACAATGATGCTAACATGATAGAAGCAGGTGTTTCCTGAAAGTGCTGAAATATTTCTTAAACTGGTATGTCACTTTGCTACAACAGCCAAACTTTCCAACTACAATTATGCAACCTTTCATAAAGTCATATTTTAGCACAAAATCCATTTATCAGTGATACATATGAATAACCTCAGAGTAATCTTTAAGTCCAACTGAATGGCTCTCACCTTTCCTGAGCAGCAGCTGCAATCTCTGCTGGATCATCACAAAACGGAATTGAAGAGTGCCACTGTCCTAGGCTAACTAGCTTACCACTGTTTCTGGTGAGCTAAACGATGCTTTCCCTCAACCCGAGAAAATAGTCCTCATTCTTTTCTGTGACATCACAAGACAGAAAGTGGGCTCCTATGTAGCAAAATAATGTACTGATGTAATTTACCAATCTCCTCTTTTAATCAGTGAGCTATTTTAAAGTTATATATTCAGAGACATCTTTAATTAAGAAAGAATGAGGACCATGAGGAGAGATAATAAGTTGCCTAACCAAAATAAATCAACTAATAACTAACTAAACAAAATCAACTCAATCCAAAGTTGGCAGCTTTCCAGAAAAGCATGAGTAAAGTGTTTGGTCTCTATGACAGCTGATAATAAACGACTTATGTTTCACACAAATATCAGTTAAAAAAAAAAAAGTTCCTCTCTTAAAAAACAAATTAATTGCCAGATTGAAATAAAATTACTTCCTTAACACACACAGTTGTTAGGTGAACTGTTTGGTTTCATGCTGAAAGGTGAAATTTCATCAACAGGTTTCATGACATTGTCCCCAAACATCGAATACCATCTGTGTATTTCTTTTAGACAGTAAGAATTTTATTTTTTAAAAATTTTATTTAGCATGAAAACCAAAAAAAAAAAAGGAAGTTGCTTGGTCTCTATGGGAAGAGAAGTCATGTTGAGCAAGAGACATCTGGAATAGGCAAACTGTGGCTTTGTGAATCTCAGACTTAGATCCTATAGTCAGTGGTGTGTAAACCAAACAAAAAAATACATACCCTTCTGAATAATCATCCTTATCTAAAGTGTATTATAGTAAATATTTCATAATAAAATGTGAATTTCTAGATGAAGTAAGAAAGAAAAGCTAAGTTCAAAGAAAAGCTGAGGTCAAAGTCAGCACTAATTTTTATGATACAGCAAGGAAAACTGGCTGTGATTATCATTGATATCAATTATTTTAAACATGGTTAGTGTCATCTAATTAAGGAGAATAATAATAAAGAACATGACTAATATAAAGACTTATCAGATTTTTTTATCATAGCAGGAGGTCAACTTCTGTACAAAGTGAAAATTCAAGTGGCTGAGAGATGATTATTATTATAGTGAGAATCACTTTAAAATGCTAAATCATCTTGAAACTGTATTCCAAACACAGTATAATTCTCTTCAACCTTCTGAAACAAGGAGATTTTATGTTAAAAATCATCTTTAAAATTTCTGATTCCCTTTAAAAAGTTAAAAACAGGCATCTTACTATTTGTTAATAAGCATGAGCACAACTTGCTATTTTAGATTTTTAAGAGACTACAAAGAGACGAAAAATGCAACCATCAATTCTAGAGAATTGAATGCCACAAAATGAAACTTTCTAAGGTGACAGCAAGCATTTAATTTAAAAGCAGGAGTCTAAAAACAGAATAAAGAAAATGAAATGTTTTAAAACAAATGAGTCAGATATGAATTATTAAAGAAGTGTACGAATACTGAGAGGAAATGAATTAATAGTAAACTAACATAATGAGATAGCATACAATAAGGGACTTAAATATTTGAATACTTTAGGAAAATATCAAAAGGGACTCAAAACCATCACTACTAAGTGAAACAAAATAGACCAGGGAAGAAACAGCCACTCTTTACACACCTCTCATCAAAGCAATAAGTGCTCTCTCTGCTGCATGCAGGCTGGCTCGGTCAAGCTGGCAGTTCCAATGAGGAAAGAGCCTAGTCTGGGGAGAGTCTGGACACTGTGCCCCAGAGAATGTCTGACCCAACATGTCCCTCAGCCACCATAGCTCTTAAGAATACGAGGTGGATGGCTCAGGTGCCTTGAAGGCCTCACAAAAAGGCACTGTGGTTCTGAAGTAAACTCTGTGGTTCTGAAGTAAAACAGATATCTGGGTAGGGAGAAAAAACAAAGTGACTTCGAGCTCCAGAATTTGACTGGAAGCACATCAGCTATAGGGAACGAAGGCCCAAGTCCTAGATGAAGGAACGAACACAGAAAAGGAACAATATCGAGAGCTTTAAGGAAGGCAAGAGGTAAGCGGGTTCAAGTGACACACTGGCCCAAAGTACCTGTCATTCACCCAAGAAACAAGGATAAACAGTGGTAACTTCAAATGTCTGCAGCAAAAGACATAGCTGCTTCAGAGCCTTTCACTTTGATGATATATAATTATCATGAATCCATTCTATACTTTTCTTAGTCTTTTTCAAGAAAGAAATTAAAACTGTACTCTATAAACGCTAGTCATAAATATATTTGTTTAAATCTGGAGGTGCAAATTTAAGTCAAGGCTGAAAAATAACACTCAACCTTATGCTCTAAATTTCTTTTTAAATATCTCATAGAAAGTTTAAGACGAATGCTTATTATTAAAATAAAACAAAGTAGCATAGGGAGGGGAGAGATAAATTCCAGCACACAGAATGAGGACACTCCGTTCATTCCTTCTTCCATGATGAGTCTTCTGTTAGATCCAATGCACCTGACTTCCTGGTTAGCCTTATTTGTTTTCCCTTGCACGACAATGTCTTTTTACAAAATAAACAAAACATCTCTCCTTATTTTTAGTAAGTCCAACTTCTTCATTTTCAGTCTTTTTTTTTTTCTTACTGTGTTTTAAAAACAACAGCACTGACAAAAAACCCAGCTAAACTTTCACCAAAATTACCTTGAAAACGAAGACAAACTGGTCTCCTTAGTCTCGATTTTCTGTGGGACTGGCACTTTTTTAAAGGAAGTAGCATTGAGCCAGACCTGACATAGTTTAAAAAATGCTGGAGACAGATGAATATGACCCACAGTCTAAATATGACATTTTTCCTAAAGTTTTTTCAGAAGAGAGACCCACATTGAGGGTAAAGGGATAACACACTTACAAGTCCACTTATGGCTACAATCCAGATGTAGGAACCAGAGGTGAAAAGCTATAAAAGAAAAAAAAAAAGGCAACTAAAAATGAAATTCAATTGCCAGCACATTTATTTTCATATAACTATAGTCATGATCATTTACATTAGGTATTAATTGTATAAGCCATAATACAGACAAGCAAATAGAAAATTAATAAACATGAATTCTGTTATTTAAAAGAAAGTAATATGTATACATGAATTTTTTTAAACCAAGATTTCAGACTTTCTAAAGCCAAAAACAAGTTGAACATGGCCAACTACCATGCAAAGAAATAGAAGTGAAATCTAAGCATATTCTAATTACAAATGAACATTAATTAACTTAAACAAAATAAAATACTACATATAAAGAAATTATTAAAGCTAACAACATACAAAATATGTATGGTGTTAGGTGATGACACAATATTTGTTTAACTCATTTGATCTTCTTCTTTTTTTTTTTTTTTTTTTTTTGAGTTGGAGTCTCACTCCGTCACCCAGGTTAGAGTGCAGTGGCATGCGCATGGCCACCCCAGCATCAACCTGCTGGGCTCAGGTGAGCCTTCTGCCTCAGCTTTCCAAGTAGCCAGAACTACAGACGCATGCTGCCACGCCTGGTTCATTTTTTTATTTATTGTAGAGATGAGGTCTCGCCAAGTTGCCCAGGCTGTTCTCGAACCCGTGCCAGGTTCAGGCAGTCCTCTCACCTCAGCCTCCCAAAGTGCTGAGATTACAGGCCTGAGCCACTGTGCCTGGCCTTTCTTGTCATTGTTACGCTCATGTAGGTGGAAAAAATCCTGCCAGACGGTCCATACCCAATGGGACCCTCCTGAAGTGTTGATATTCTCATTCTAGTTTGCCCAAGGAAGAGCAAGCTAAGTAACAATCACAAAGTTAATTAATGGCAAAAGTAATTAGAATTAGATCTCATGAAATCTTTCCTTTTGTTTCCCAAATCATTTATATCTGAGAGTTGTGCTTAGGGTGGAGAAAAAAATCATTAAGCATCTCTGCATGTTCCTGCAAGAAAGAAATGATTTGTGGCCTATTGTTTATTTTTAGAACGTTACGCTGGGAGTTGAAGTACTTCTGATTATAGAGAAAGAAGCTGAATATTAAGCAGGACAGCCCAGGCAGACTGCTGACATTGAGCAGGAGGAAAATCTCCATTTTGTACACTTATCAAGGAGAGAGAAGACACACGAAGGCTCAGAGTCGGCAACATACAGACAAACGCAAGGCTGGCAAGCTTTGCTCTGGTGCTAGCTCACCCAGACGTGAGAACTGGCTGCAACTTCAGATGCAATCCCTTGATCTAGCATGGATGCTTGTTCAGTGTGAGTGACTGATCACAACAAAGATGAGAACTGCGTAGACAAATTCTTTGCTGTAACACGGTAGCCCTGAATTTTGGAGGGCTTGGAGTAATGTTTCCCTATTTCAAAAGACTACAATTGTCTTTAGTTGCTTGGTTACCGGCATGACTCATTAACCTCATGACTTGTTACAGGGAATATGTATATCCTGACCAGTCTTGGCCAGGGGCTGTTCCCTGGGAGAGGGGCAGAAAGAAGCCAGTTATGGGGGAAAGAGGCAGTACCTGGATAATTACCCCAAACTCGGGTAATATTCTTCTAAAAACAGAAATAATAATAAACTAGCTAACACTTTTATGAGGCAGACACTGCTCTCGAGGCTTTTTGTGTGCTGGACTCACTGAATTCCAAGGAAGTTCTATTATTCACTTGAATTTACTGATGAGAAAACTGAATGGTTAAATAATTTGCTCCAGGTCAAACAGCTAGCAGGTGGTGGGCTGGGAGTGAATCCAGGTGCTCTCCACTCTGTTATGTCTCATATGCAAATAAAAGAGCATATCATTTCATCAGTTAAAAAATGATCTCCTCTGGACTCGGAAGCCCCTCATCTTATTCCATGTCTGGCCCCACGTGGGTCTGCAGACGTTCTGACAGTGTGCGTGTGCTTTCTCACCACTGGGCTCCTTGAGGACAGGTGCCTCGTCACATACTTCACTTCACCCTCCATAGCCCTAGCACAGGGTATGACATGCCTGGCTCTCAAGACATTTGATACTTAAATGACCCTCGGTGAACATTTTGGCTCTTCTGATTATGACTAAAGTCATTCATTCATTCAACAATGTCCCTGGCTTCAAGCAACTGTGGTGGGGTGAGAAAAAGGCACAGAAACCCATGCGCGGGCCCAGAGGGAGGGAGGCAGGGAGAGACTGGACACTTTAGGAGTATGGAGTTCAGTCACCCTCGCTTCTAGGTGGGATGGTGGGAGTGGATACTGGATAGGTCAGAAGAACCATAGATGCCGTTCATGCTAAGGACTCCAGGTTTTGTCAAGAAGCCAATAAGGCATCTTCACCTCTACTTTCTGATATCAATTTTTACCTCACAAAGTTACCGGGAACATGAAAAATCATAAATTTATATTATTTTGAAAAAAATCTGTGATAGTTGCATGTACCTTTTGGCCTCTGGACAGGAATAAGGGGATACCTCCATCATGAGTAGGTAATACTGCTGAAATGACACTAAACATCACAGCTCTGTGACAGACTGTGCAGCGTCTCTTTTCCCAAGAGATTTTTTTTTTTTCTGAGTTGGAGTCTCACTCCATCACCCAGGCTGGAGTGCAGTAGCATGCTCACAGCCACCCCAGCGTCAACCCACTAGGCTCAGATGATCCTTCCATTTTAGCCTTCCAAGTAGCTGGGACTACAGGTAAGCAATACCATGCCTGAGTAATTTTTTGATTTACTGTAGAGATGGGGTCTCACCAAGTTGCCCAGTCTGGTCTTGAACTCGTGGGCTCAGGCAATCCTCTCACCTCGGCCTCCCAAAGTGCTGGGATTACAGGCTTGAGCCACCATGCCCAGCCTCCCAAGAGATTAAACACCCCACTTACTTTGCTTTACACCACAAAAGATACATTCACAGTATCAGAAAAATGAAAGGTGGTAGCTATAGTGATAAATTATTAATTAATAAAAGGAACCAGTCGACTTAGCTCTTATCTGTTCAGATTCCACTGAACACTTAACACTATTATCTGTAATCCTTAAAATACCTCTGAAAGGTAGATATGATTATCCTCACTTTGCAGATGGGGAAAGGGGACTCAGCCAAGGTAAGTAACAAAGCACATAATTACCGGGCCAAGTCGTTAAGCCAAGTCCCCTTGGTTCCAAAGACTTTCCACATTGCCACACTAAATCCCCCCTCCGTAATGAATCAAAAAATGGTTTTCCTCCTCAAAGATTTGGCATAACTTTGAGGAGGAAAGTTGGAAGGAACTATACAGTCAATACGAAGTTCAGTGGGGTTCCTTGACTTGACCTAAGCCACACGGCAGCAAGAGCCAAGCTGGGACAAGAACTCGGCTCTCCTGAGTATTCTTCTGCTGTTCCATATCGCCCCTGTCCTGACAGCTTTAAAAGTGTTAAATCTGCGAAGAAGAAGAATAAACTGCAGAGACGGGCTATTTGGTTACACAGGTTTAAGCAGGATAAGGGGGTGTGTGCTGGTAGGGGGGCTGAGAGATGGAGACAAAACATATTTCATGAGAAACGGTTGTAAAAGTGGTGAGGAAATACCCGCCCCAGATAAGCCATTGATAACACATGACAGCAGACTGGAGAAGTGAGAGGAAATGTGAAAGGTTAAAAGGGGAGGGAAGGCTTTCTGAAGCGACACAGCATCCGGTCTGATGTGCGTGGGATAAGGAATGTTATGAGCAGTAATCAGTGGATCAAAAGGCCAAGCGGTACATGGCTGCACAGGCAGCCGTAGAACAAAACTACATCTAAAGCTACAAGACTAAAAGAAAAGTGACAAGGAGTACAGACAGAAGACTGAAAATCAGAAGCGTCTTCTACCACAGGGCCTGGACCCAGCAGGGAGCAGTGGGTATTGGGTGAATATTGGTGAGGACAACTTTTAAATTTTAAGTCAGACAGTAAGCATAGTCTTCACAGCAAACTATTTAGCAAACGGTGGCACTACCATCGTGTCTACACAAACACAGAAATACTGCTGTCCATAATGCTTCTCGAAAACCCCAAGGCTCAGGTTGGGAAAGCATATGGGGTTTCTTCTTCAGAGCTTTATTAGTGATATTGAATTCAATAAATTAATTTCAACATTGACTTTTTCCGCTTTCCACCTTTGGTTGTTCTCATTTGCTTCCGCTTCATACTACGATTTTTAAAAAGCTCTTACATGCAATTGTATAATGAAATGAAAATATTTTCCACTGATAAAAATTACAGTGAAAGCTCTTATCAGATTTCTAAAACTATGAAAGTATTCTAGTACCTTCTATACCTTGATGTTCTTGTTCTGTAAAACTTCCTTTGAACATTTGATATAGATCATGAAGCCAAACTTATGGGGAAAAAAAACACATTGTTTTCAAGGAGATCAAATGAGAAAAAGACTAAAAAAAGAAAAAAAGATCTGGTTAAAGAAATGTGAACATAAAAATGCATACTGTACCTGTAGTCCCAATATATAAATCAATGTCTTGTTTGTGATGGACAACGGGCCCAGAATTTGTGCCACTTGGACTCTTGGTATGGAGCAGTAAAATGGTACAAACAGAGCAAACACAGGTGCCAGGCTATGCAAACAAATAAAAAAAGATCACTACAGTATAACAGTGAATTTAAAACACCAATGACAGACGTATATTCGAAGTAACACTGCTTATAACGTTATCTCAGTCAGAAAGCATGGTCTTAGATATACAAGTTGGTTTCCAAACATGCATCACGTCCAAAATAATTTGTATTTATTTAACACTTTATGAAAACTCAGACTATCCTATTCTTGCCGACCCTCCCAAAACCACTGCAAAGTGGGTTCAGCATCTACTAATTAATCATGACGCACTGTGAGGAAATTCAAAGTGGATGCTACGTTTCCTTCCCAGATATGACTAAAAATGTAATGAAAGAGACTAGACAAACCAAAAGCTACAAACACGAAAATACTTCATGATCAAATTCGAAAGCGGCGTCTCAGATCCTGGCCAGCGATCTGTCACCACAGCACTGACACCGCTCACCTCTGCCCTCCCTTCCTCAAATTCCTTCCTCCTTTTGTCTGGCACCCTGTTTCTTGCTGGTTTCCCAGAGGCTTCTCACACCACTCTCCTGCCCAGGGTTCCATTACAGTATTTACTTCTTGTTCTAGTTTCTCAACCCCAATCCCTTCTATGGCTTCAACTAAGAAAATGAAGTGAGTCCTAAAAGTGCCTGCCAGTCCTTCACCCTGGCTCTAAGCCTCAGTTTGACACCTTCAACTTGACAAAGTTCCACGTGTCTTTCTACGTAAAGTCTTGCTTCTCTCTAATCCATCTCTTACCACTGTTGACAGCATTCTTTTCCCAAAGCCCAACTCTGATCATGGCACACCCTTGCTTAAAACAATCACTTATCACTGCAGATGCATGCTCGAGTGCGAGTGCACCCCCTCCCATCTTGCTCACACCACTCAACTCTTCTCAGAAGACTTCTCTGACTCTGCTTGGTGGTGGGTGGCTCTTCTTGTTGTCCCCAAAATGATGCCAGTTTCACTACATCAGAGAATCAACTGGACGCTGACCATGTTGAGGCAGGATGCCTAGTGCAGGAGCTATTTCTTTTTTTTTTTTTTGAGTCGGAGTCTCACTCTGTAGCCCAGACTGGATGCAGTGGCCGC